GACAATCACTAACCCTTCCGAGGCAATGCTACAAGCCCAGCACCATACCAGATGCTTTGCCTATATTAACTCATTTAATATTTGCATATTCATAAGTAACTACAACATAAGCTAGAGCTACAGACGGTGATGGAGGTACTGCTGCAAAAAATGTACTAGATGGATGTGGTTTGGGTGGATGGGACAGTGTGTCTTATTTCTATAACTCCTTGTGTATGTACGTTGTCCAAAAATATTTCTAAATAGTACTAACCTCAATACTTTCTGCATGTTGGGTTTTGTCACTGTCTACATGTATTATCTCTCTTGCCCTTGATTTTTAATCTGATACCACAGAGATGGAAACCAAGACAGAGGTTAACCAGCTCAGTGAATAAGCACCTAGATTCCCATGCCAACATTTCTAACTACATCATTGCACTGTCTTCTGAATAACTTAATGACCTTTCTTTAGTGCTAACCGTACAGCAATGAGTATTTGGTGGCTAAGTGACAGATCTTGTTTTTTCTGTTTTCATGTACCGATCAGGTTTATGAGAAATTAAAATGCAGGGAATAGAAGTAAGGTCCTCTTTGTTTCAGAAGTAAGCCCCACCCGCCATCATCTGCCCTGAGCATCATGAGTTGGGTCTTCTGTTACCCTCAATCCACTGGGTGTAGAGCATTATAATTGGGAAACCTGATATCTGTGATATGAGTCTCTCCAATGCCTTTAGTGACAGAGCCTAAAGGTACTTAACTCTAAAAAAATAAATCAAACTAGGGACTGTGTCATGAATAATAAAAATAATATTTGTTATACAAACATATGCACCAATTATCCTTGCGTGTATATACATAAAGAAAATGTTAAGCACTAATATTTAAGCACAAAGAACTTGCACCTGAATCTGACAGTGTATTTAGAACCCAAAAAGAATGAAACAGTCTCCAAATTCCCTTTGGCATGCTATTTTGACAGGACTCACACTCACAACCTCTTGTGTGTTCTCACGGCTGTGTTCAGTCTTGTTTTCCTAATGTGCTTGGGAAGCTCAGCGGCCCTCTGGTCTGGGTAGGGTGCATTAGATTTGTGGACCCTAGATATCATCATTCTGTTTTTCTTCAACACATCTTTGGTTATCTTCAGGTTGCTATCTGGATTTTTAGGACTAGGGAAGTGCTATTGAACTTGTGGATAATTTTCAGCCCCCTCCAGGAGAGTTTAAAATAAAGTACACAAACAGACAAGCAAAGAATTGGGAGCAACATTATTTTCTTTCCAGAAAGAGTGAAGTCAAATATCATCATTATCTACTGTAAAGCTCAGGTTGTAAACCTACTGCTGTCAACACGTTTTTCCATCACTGGGTGCTCACAGAGGGCAAAGAACAGTCTGAGGAGTGGTAGCCAGTGGAGCCAAGGAACCCACTCTGCTGGACTCTGGCCTCCAACACATTGGCCAGGACACTCCTCCTCTAGTGAGGCTCTCTCTAGTGAGTTCTGGCCAACGGGAACTCCTTTGGCATAAATCCTCGAGTAGGATTTAGGAATCTGACTCTGGACCTTTAGGGCAACTTCAGATGCTGGAACTAACTGAGATGTTTACAGATTTAATGCTTTTTTCCTATGAGAATATGACATCATATACAAAGGTAGGCCCCCCAAACGTGCCTACAGACTTATATGGAACAGAAGTAAGCTACTCCTCTCTGTGAAACTTTTTTTCTTATCTTTTCGGCCTTCTTTATCTTTCCAACTATTATTAAAACTTTCTCAATAAGGACTGAAAATTCATTGCAAGTAAAAATAACTGAAGATGGCTGATAGTATCATCTCACAGGGAGAATTAATATGAACAATGCCTTAGATAAAACCTTTGCAGTACCCCTACTATTTGATGACAGGTTTTAAGGAGCAATGGAAGGATATATTTCTAATAAATGAAATTTTGGGAGATAAGAGTACCTTATCAAACAGAGGAACCACTTCTCCTGAAACAAATCTATTTGGGGGTTAACTATTTATAAAAAAAATTAATATTGTTTTCTGTACAGTAACCATGGGTTCCATATCCACAGACTCATCCAACCTCAGATTAAAATATTTAGCCAAAGAAACCTGCATCTGTACTGGACAGACTTTTTTCTTGTCACTATTCCCTGAACAATAGAGTATAACAACTATTTACATACCATTTACATTGTATTAGGTATTGTAAGTAATCCAGAAATGATTTAAATGATACAGGAGGAGGATGTATATAGGTTTATGCAAATACTACACCATTGTACATAAGGGACTTGAGCATCTGGGATTTTGGTATCCACGGGGCTTCCTGGAACAGTCCCCACAGAGACCCAGAGAGCAACAACTGTGCTTATGTAGCAATCTGGCACCTCACCCAAGGTCATCGTCCTAAGTACCCTGCAAGAGATCCAAGGTATCATCACACTTTAAGAGAGCTTCTAATATTTTAAAGTTACACTTGGTTTGTTTTATTAGGAAAAAGAGGAACTTCCCCAAGATTCCATGTAGGTAGAAGGCAGAACTTCACACGATCTAACACAAATACAAAATATAGTCTTCTAGAGAGTTCTGGAACATAAAAAGGCAATCAAGTAAGAAAAAAAAAAAAAAAAAAAACCTCATTGGAAATTTGTAAAGTACCTTAAGCGAACAGACTAAGCCCAGACTGATTCCAATGGAAGTTCATCAGATGGTATAAAAAGAGCAAGTTATCTAATTACAAATCATCTCCTCTTCTCTCTCTGAATGTTTGAATCTATGCCATCCCATAGGATAAAAAAGTATACCCCAAAGATAAATTAATACAAGCTGATATCTTCATATGTCTCTAGATCCCTTCATGAAATATGCTTCTATTTTGAATTTATTCAGTACTTCTTCCCCGAGTCTATAGAACACTCTCACACATGTCCTCTTACCACCAAACCAGAAGCAGAAAAGACTACACTACTAGGTGCCATCAGTGTAAAAGACATGAATCTACTTCAGAATTTTCAAAAAATGTTTAATTTCTGGGACATGAGCTGTTAATTCCATACGAGTTAACTTTCACAGAGCCGGAGTCTCAAAAGTGTTTTGAGGTGAATTGTTCGTTGCTACGTCTGAATATTTGGACTAACCTTGCCACCTTCTCTGATATTACTATATCTGCTTTTGAACAGATTCAAGTTATAAAACAGTTGAGCTGCTCAAATTTTGACATTGCCTTTTGAACATTACTATCTTTCCCTGCCTTTGAAAATAATGTCCTCACATACATATTCCTATATGAAATCTATACCTCTGTTTCCCAGAGAATGAAATCATTTTTTTAAAAATCTATTTCAGAAGCTGGTTATATAATGTTGAAAGAATCTGGTGATTAAGTAAAATGAAGCCCCTTTTTGCAAGAAAATTATCATCGCCTTCCCAAATACATGTCTTTTCTTTTTTAATATCTTTTTAATTGTAGGTGGACACAATACCTTTATTTTATTTATTCATATATGGTGCTGAGGATCGAACCCAGTGCCTCACACATGCTAGGCGAGCGCTCTGCTGCTGAGCCACAACCCCAGCCCTACATGTCTTTTCTTAAGTTGAATTTTTTCCCCCTGTGAGTTTTCTTAAATTGTGGCCCTTTTATATGATTTGTTCCCTTTGTAAGGTTCTCCAAATTTCCTTCTCTTGGTCAACTCTCCAGAAATGCCGGGCTTCCAAACCCAGCCCCAACTCCAGAAAGCAACTCTGTTTTTCCAGTGTCCTATTTAGCGTCCCCTTGTTCCATCACACGTTCATTGCCACTCACCAAAATGTTTGGTGTTTGTCACCAGCAGCACACTTGTGCACTCTCTCCCTCTCCCTCTCTCCCTCTCTCTCACCTATGAGTCATTACAATTTCCAAGGAATCACAATAGAGGGTTCAGAACCTGTCGCCCACACCTGACTGTAAGCGAAAGGAACTAGAAGACAGCTTTCTCCTCTTGTAAATGTCAAGTGTTCAGTGCATCTCCATTGGGGGCTGAATAGAAATGTAACCTTAGAGCGGCGAGTCCTTGGGGCTGAGCAGAGCTCGGAGCATTCAGAGTCCTGGCTGACTTCCCTACAGAGGCTTCAACCTTCTTGCATCAGGCTGAACTCTCTGCAGCACCAACGTGGATGCTGATTCACGCTGGTTGGGTGGGCAAGCCCACGAGACAACAGCTGACAATTTCCTGGTTTGTGTCCAGGGAGGCTGGCAGAATTGTACACACTGGGGAGGGGAGTCCCACGATCGTCCCTCCGGGTCTCTTTAGATGTTGCTTCTCCCTTCTTGACAATCCAATATGCTGCATACCACACCACACTAACAATCAATTCTGCTTCATCCACAAAGGGTGCAAGAGGGTTGTGGAGAGTACACAATAAGGTTGATGTGGCTATCAATCTGCTTTTCACAAGCGGATCTCCAAGAATTGCACCTCCATGTTCTTGCTGAGGTACAGGAGGGAGGCTATCAGGCCAGCATAACCTCAGGGACCTTACCAAAGTTTTCTTTTGGTTGCCAGGATTATTTTGTGACATTCACCCAGAGAGGAATGCATTGAGAAAGATTGGCATGATTGTGTTGGAGATCTGACCAGGCTGTCAGAGGCAGGAAGAGGGAGGGAGCCAAACCAAACGTGCCCTCTGTATTTCTGTCCAGAAAAAAAAAAAAGCTCACATTTATAATTACCCACCTTGTTTTGCAGCTCAGAATAAAAGTGGCATTGCACCAAACCCTACCGGAGCAGCCTTCGTGATTAGAAAGTGCTCCACACCTTCGAGAGCCGTGGAGACATGAGAATAATTTTAAATGCAAATTAAATTGAGGGGGTAGCAGAGAAGAATATATAAAAGACAGTAAAACAAAACCTTTCAATTTTCTTAAATTAGCAGTCTAATGTGTTCTAAAGAGCAGCCCCACTCAGCTCTCTTCTTAGGGGTTGCATTTCATCACAATATAAAATGGGCAAATCCGTCACTTTCCTCCACTCAGGGCTCTTGACTCAAGATTGAAGGGAAAATTAGGAGCTGCTCATTTGGGCTTGCGGGCTCAGCAGCACTGCTCAGCTTCATTTCGTGTTCTCCCGGTGTCCTGTGGAAAGGGGTCAACAAGTGCTGGTGAGTATCTGCTAATTGAAGAATCTTCCTTCCATATATCTTTCTATCCACCTTTCCTTTTCCAAGAGGAGGGGAATTTCCCCTACGATCTGTGTTCTAATGCGTCTTTCAAAAATCTGGGCAATTTCAGACAGCTTTTAAAGCTGCTTCCAGTGACTGATTCACAGAAGGAAAGAGTTATTTTCAGCCTCAATGCCGGTGACTGTTCTGTGTATTAATTATAACCAGCGATGCCGAACATAAGCAGCTCCTGTGGCCTTTCCTTGCCAGCTCCCATCTCTGTCACCCGTAGGTCAGCATCAGTGTGGGAATGGATGCCCCAGGACAGTGTTGCAGACAACTTTCTCCTATTCATTGTTTCATCATTTCATATGCTCTTCTGTTTTGATTGCAAATCCAACAGGGACTTGGGGTTGTGCAAATAAATCATTACACCACAAATCTGCTTTTTAGTGACTATGGCACTTCTCTGTATAAAAGATGGGGGGGGGGAGGTAAGGAATGACCCTAAACGATATCAAATCTACATGTGGATTTTGATGGTTTGCTGCCAAAGTTTTGCATGGGAAACTGGTAATTTTCTTCCTCCACAGGGGAGGGTACAGAGAGGCTGTGGCTGGCGTCACCTTCTGTTGCTAAGGTAACGCGCTCTGGCCATTTTATCTGATAAAGGAAGTCCAGTGGACAGAATGCATTATTCATCTCTGATCTAATCAAACAATCAAAATTGTTTACTTTCACCGGGAATATTTAGTGAGATCAAAGACATCTGGCTGAAACTGCTCTTGTTTGCCGGCAGCCCTCGATTTTTTTTTTTTTTTGCAGTAAGTATAATTTGCTGTTGGGTACCTTTGGGTATTTTTAAAAAGTTTGCTCATACCAGACTTGGGTTCTTAAATTGAAACGTGTACTGGTAGAAAGGGAAATCTATTCAATTAGCCTTCTGAGCTTCATTGTAATGACTTTGTCTTGTTCATTCTTTCTAAAAGAAAAAAAAACAAATCCTGCTGAAATAGATACTTCATTTGTGCAAATATCAGGGAAAGGCTACATGGGTTTGCAAAAAGAGGCTGGATTCTCCTTGATGAAGCGTATTCGCTTCCTGATGGGCAAGTGCATGATACTACTGTGGGAATCATTGCAAGGCTGCAGTAATTGCTGCTGCTCTGAGAACCACAATTCTTTCTCCTAAGCAGCCTGTGTCGGGTGTAGGCAGGTGAGGATCCTATAGCACTTTATAAAATGTGCCAGAGGGAATCGCTGAGAAGGAAGGAATTCGGGGCATTTCTATAGCAAACAAGTCAGTGTGTCATAAACTCAGGGCGCCTATGAGCGGAGTCACATTCCCAGGCAGTTCTCTCTGCTGGAGGGGAATCCAAAAGTCCCTGGATCAATTGAGGATCAACCTTTCCGATGGCTGACGCTAATGATGCCATTCATCAGACATTTTGAAAACCGATAGCCTGTGAATTTAGCAGTGTATTTTCCAATTAATGTACAGCAGGGAGAGACCGGTATGTTATCTCTCTTTAGCTGGATCATCTGTTTTTACTGAGTAGAATATATTATTTTAAATGAATGTTAACTAAAGGTTATATTTTCTCATACAATAGGAAAGTGCTGCTGAATGGTGGTGGGGCAGGTGGGGGTGTTACTTAGAATTGGGAATGTCAATCAAATAATGGGATATCTTAATGGACTGTTCTTATTCAAAAAATTTAAAGTGTATCCATATTTTATTCTTGACAGTCTAAAATACTGTGGATTTTCTTCTCTTTATAGGCATCCAGGTGAAGATTTTTCTCTCTAAATTCTGTGCCTGGAACATCAAGGATGGATTATCCCAAAATGGATTATTTTCTGGACGTTGAGTCTGCTCACAGACTCTTGGATGTTGAGTCGGCTCAAAGGTTTTTCTACAGTCAAGGAGCTCAAGGTAATGACATGGGGAGAAAGGAGGAAAGCCCTCTGTTTACAAGCTGGTTTAATATTAACAGTGCAGGGTATAGGCTGTGACAACTTGGGCTTGGGCTCAGAAGTTCAACAATGGATATTTCTTAGTTAATAACCTCTTGGAAGCTGTTGCTGGAACTGTAGCAGGTATAGAGTAGAATAAACAAATACACACCTGTTGAATGTGGCAGAAACAATGTATCTGACTTGAGGTGCAACTGCTCTTCTAAAAGCTGTGCTAGAAAATGATTTCCCCTTCTCCTGAGTTCAAAACCTGCACTGGACAGGAATCAGGAATGCTTTTATGCCTGGAAAATTTCAAGTTTGCAGACACTGCAGTTGATGAGATCTTAGGGCACCTTGACAGAGCTCAGGGGAGTCAGCTGGGCTAGGGGCTCTTAGGATCATCACAGAGCTTCTACACTTCCTTAGCTATTTTAGATGATTTTAGTTAGTGCCATGGAGAATTAACAGAGTACATTCAAGGTGCAGTCAGGAACAACCCTGTGGGGAGTGTGGCTGATGTGCACATTTTCATTACCTATTTCAAGATGATCAATTAGTCTCTGTTTGTTTGCTCTTCTGTTCTAAGGTGCATTTAGAATGTTTTACCACCATGTTAGAGTAACAAAAAAAGCTAGAGTGTTTTATAGGATCATCTGATAGGTAGGGGATTTTTTTAAAGCATAATTTCCATTTTCTGTTGAATATTTTAATTGTTCAATCAAAGCAACCTGGTGATGGGCATGTCCCAAATTGTACAGGTGATAAATTGAGAAGGAAGAAAATGGGCTTATATTTAAATAGAAAAGTCATTGAATTCTTGGAAGTCACAAAGAGAGCTGAGCTGAGCAGAAAATTCCATGTTTATAATCCTGGCATCTTTTACTGTTATAAGATGGGGACTTAACACCAGGCACTGATAATATTTTGTACTGGCTTTTCTAAGTGGTCTTGTGAATTGTTTTTAACTTGCTCTCAAGCCAACTTTTATGGTAACCTTGAGGGTTTGCAAACCTTCTGTTTCCATTTCTCCAGGGCATGGGCCAGACTTCTGATAATCCAGAGGGGTTTAGAATGATTTGGTTGATTTCCTTGGGTCAGCATGCTCATCAGCAGAGCTTAAATTAGGAAAAATGATACAATATCTAATTTTCCTTCTTCTGGGTGGAAGGAACCAGCATTGCTACTCTCTGCCACTAAGACATGAAAGTGTAGCTAGCGAAGGAGAAGGGACAGAGACTGGTAGAATCTCCTGCATGGTCTGAGTTACAAATATTTTGGAAGAAGCTGCAGAGCAGAGGCTGGAAGGGAGGGTCACTCTGTCCCACAGCCTGTTCTGAATTTATACATGGCCCCATTCCTTCTGAAGTGGAGGATCACATTCCCTGATGGGGTCACGCACCTGAGGGGCTCAATTGTTGGCACAGAAAGAAGGGGAACAGCAGTTAGTTATAGAGAATTAAGATGTCCACTTTCTCCTGACATGGAGATGGATTAAACCTTGAAGGAAATGATGGGCTTCTGGCTTTTGTGGAAGGGAAGCGGGCAGGGTGTGGGAGGCTCGGAGAATTCAAGGCAGCCTGGTGGCTGACAGCAGATGGAGCTGGGGGTGGAGTGGTCAGATTGTCACCATCAGTGACTGTGGCTTAGACACCAGAGCTGGAATGACTGGAGAATGCAGGGGAGGTGGTAGCATAAGCTACTGCGGCTCCCTGGGATCCTGTTCATTCGAGGGTAATCAGGATGATGTTCCAGTTGAGGAATCCTGGATTGATTTGCAGGAGGCATTGGGGGCTGCCCAAATGTCATCTAGGCCAATGTTTGAAAAGCTCCAGACTCCCAGAATCAGAAGTCCAGGTGTTCAGAGGTCCTGGACCTAGCTGTTTGGAGTTTTCCTTTTAGTTGGGAACACCAACAGTGGTCACCAAGCCAGCCCATCAGTGTAGGGATCCACAATTAAGAAGCAATCCATCCCATCCAGTTACTCTCCTACCACCCTGGGACAGAAACATTAGAGGCAGACCTCTCTGCAAAGTGGAGACCCTAATAATGTCTAATCCATACGTTGTTAAGAGCATTAATGAGGCAAGATTTAAAAGTGTTTAAGGCAGTGGCTGCCATGTTAGACACACTACACGTCAGCAAATCAATGGAATCGACATCCCGGCAAAGGGCCATTCCTACTCTGTTTGAGATTTCATAAGGAAGCCAGGAAATGGCCTGAGTACCCTGGCCTTTTAAATTTGATACTTATATTTTAGAGGGCCATGCTAAAGCCCATACCTAACCAATGGCAAGGCCCTGAGACCAGGAAGGAGCGCAGCAGGGTGGCCACCTCTTGAGAAGGGGGTAATTAGGGTGCCTCTCAGCCCATAGCAGCTCTCTGCTCAGTCAGTCTAGCCCAGGTGCAGAGGGCTGTTAGCCAGGTCAGGTAGCCCCCACGTAATACCCTCTTCATCAAAGGTCTACCAGGACCCCAGGAGCACAGTGCAGAGTTGAGTACCTGGAATGAGGGTGTCCACAGACCTGGGGTGGGTTTTTGCATTTTCATGTGTCCTCTCTCACTGTCACACAGCTATTTCCATAGACTGGTCCAACGTTCTTACAGATATAAATACTTTTAAAGGGAAAGGAAGAAAATCTGGGTATTGTTATCTTTCCTTCCCATATGATTGCCCTTACCTCAATTTACTGTATTTGCAAATTCATGATGTTCTAGGAAAACAGCCCTTTCCATATGTTTATCCAAGGCAATAATTTCAGAACCACGCTTTTGACTGCCTCGTGGTTGTTTTATAACTTTTCTTGGAAAGTGGTAATAAGCCTTCCCCTAAATAGAGGACATTCTAGCTCATTAGCATGAAGGGAATCTAGAAGGGTAAGGAGAAAAAAAAAAAAAGCAAGAAAGGAAGCATCTGTCACCAGGCACATTCTTTGGGAAGTCCTTGAGATTTTCAAAGGTCAGCAATCCATCCTGCGGAATAAGCACCTTATTCTTTTTCTCCCATCTCCATTTTTCCTTGGTTTGAACCCAAGGTTGGGAAGACCGACTGTCTCTCTGGGATTCTGCTTCCAAAAACCATGATGTGTCATGGAGAGCAGAGAACAGTCCAGAGGCTTCCCATTTGCCTCCTGTCAGGGAGGGATGCTCTCCTGATTAATTTGTGGGTAGCTCACCAACAGTCAATCCTGTCAATGCAGTAGTGCTCTGGGGCCCCTCCCTAAACTAAGGGAAACAGAACTGTGAGGGCAAGAACCAGGTCCCAGGACTGTGTTTTCAGTAAGCCCCTGGGTTATGCTAGTAAACACCAAAGGTTGAGAAAAATGATTATGGGTCATCAGCCACTCGCCTTCCAGACTATGGGCCCAGGCTACACAGTACCTTCTTCCTCTGGCAGCTAATCATCAATTCTAAATCTCAGTCCCCATCCCCAGTCTGGAGACTCAAAATGTGCATTTTAACAAGTTCTCCAGGTAATT